GTAGAGGGGCTGAATTGCACCTTCTGCCATAGTGGATAAGTTCTCTTCTTTTCTTAATGTTGGCTTGCCGACAACGTTAATGGCTTTATTCTCTTTTATCATCCATGAAGTAATCGACGCGGAAATAGCTTTTACAATTAAATGGGCTCGTTCTAATTTTTCGGCCGAAAATGGGCTCAACTTTATGTAACTGGCTGACTGGTTTATTTATTTGATTCTTCATGTATTTGCTTTTGTTGTTGAATCAGTTTGATGATGATTTATCTGGTTCATGAGGATGGTGTTCTAAATCCAGAAACTGCTGTGTTGTCTAGATTCCCAACTCGCATATATTATGCATGCCCAACTGAAGTCCAGTGGCATGAAATATCTTGGATAAATATAGCATAGTGGGCTAACTTTCACATTTTGATAGAGACCCTGCTGGCATGGGTCATTAAGTCGAGAAAAGATATTCACATGATGCCTGATCATGGAACAAGCAGGTATTGAGTACGTGCATGACTTTGGGACCTTAAATGGCTAAACATCCTTCCTTTCAGGGTATTTAGTATTCAAGATTTAATGTGTTCACCAAAATTATGGCACTGTTCTTGTCATATAAATACATGAAATCTCTAATTCTTGCTAATTGATTCTTATTCAAGTTGCTGCATTTGTGAGAATCGGGGTAAACAACATTATTTAATTCAACAAGAGTTCAAAACTTCTTCATATTTGGGTACCAATGTACCTTTTCTTCATACAGAAATAGAAGTCATAAAATAATTGAATAATTTCATTTATGGTAATTATTCTTTTTTATTAACCTAATTACATCTAATTAGGCTTGCATGCATTCTAGAGATTGAAACACTTGCAAAGAAAAAGGAAAATACTCCTAAGATTCATGTTGCTTCAGCGATTGGAAACTGCTTGTCAAATGTTTCAACATTTCTGACACCTGCCAAGAACGACAAAGTTCTAGAAGGCAGAAACTATTCCAGCATAGGCAGGGCTTATGTTTTACTTTTACCTTTGTGAGTCTAACTGATTTAAACTCTAAAATGAAGAATTTATTCATCTCCATGGCACGTTGCATATTGATTTTTGGTAATGCCTTTATTCACATTCAAGCAAAAATTAATCATGTTGGGTGAAATGTTTCCTATATTGAAAAAACCAGGTTATTTTATACATGTAAGAAATGTTTCCCATGCCGTCTATATTCATGAAGAATGGAGGGAAATTGAATAGAATTACAGACATACGCGGGCAGAAATTTAAAGAATTAATGAATTTTTGAAGTCTTATATGTGTTCGCAGAGATAGCTAAAAATAGGTCTCTCTGGCACTGGTATGCACTTGACAATACAGCCAAGGGGCCAAGAGACAGCAGCTATGGCGAGGCAGGCACCCCATTGTTCCCAATTCAATCTCTCTGTGTTGGCTAACCACTTCAAAAACTCCACCGTGACCACCTGGAGAAAAATTGTTATCCCAGCAATTACCAAAAACCTTGTGTTCTTTTCAATGCCCTCGAATATGTTCTTCCTCTTGAGCTTTCTAGCCTTGAATTCATTGAAAACTTGGCAGAGCACAAACGTGTTGAAAATCAAGGTGTCCTTTACGGCCTCTGTCACGTTGAAGATTGATTTCCCTCTGTAGTGCAGCGTTAGGAGCACTACTATCTGGTAAAAAGCTTGGGCTAGGAGGTTTCTCCACATGATGTTGGTAATCAGTGGCTCTTGGCCAACCGGTTGCTTCTCCATCGGCCCCGCCGTGGGCTCCTCTGCACCTAGAGCCAGAGCACCCAATGGGCTTGTGATCAAGTTCACCCACAACAACTGGACAGTCTTTAAAGGAACTTTGCAAGAAGAATCGCAGCCACGATTTTGATGACTAAAGCAGCAACGTTTATAGTGAGCTGGAATTGGATGAATTTCTTGATGTTGGTATAAACACATCTTCATCTTCCCCACCTCAAATCCATGGCCAAATTTTTAAAATTATCATCCAAGATGACAACATCGCGTACCTCAGAATCGTTTATACCAGCGACTGCGACTACATGTCCTTTATCTTTCAGGCTTTGCAACAAGAGACGTTTGTCACTAGGAGACGCTCCTGCCACGACGCAGATTTTATCGATTATCTCCTTCCTCTGCTCTGATGTGTATTTCCTGAATTGATCGGCTTCCATGACAGCTCTACTTTCCAGTTCGTTATCCGAACGGAGAATCCCACACTCAATGGCTATAGCTTTTGCAGTTAAGACGTTGCCACTTGTGATCATTTTGATGTTCACACCGGTATTCTGTCGGCATTCTTCCACGGTGTCCCTCACCCAAGGCTGGCATGGGTCCTCAATGCCCAACAATGCTAACAGTAACAGGATCAAATTTTCTTCTTCTAAACTTCTCTTCTCTTTTAAATCTTCTTTGGCTGCTTCTTCAGTAACCCGTTTGTGGGCCAAAGCAATGCACTGGAGACTTCTTTTCGCCATTCCCTGAATAATTTTCTTGAATTTCATCCTTTCTTCTCCGTTAAGATGTTTAATAGTTCCAGAGGCATCGTAATAGCTTAAGCACATTGCTAGTATCAGCTCTGCTGCTCCTTTCCAATGAACATGAACTGTGTTGTCTTCTTTCTTCTTTACCAGAACGCCGCTTAGTTTCTTATTGGAATTGAAAGCTTCTGCAAATAAAATTGAAAAATTCTGCTTCAACAACTCCATATCCATCACCATCTTCATCACTGGCAAAGCCCAAGAAAGAATTGCCTTTTCAGTTGGACTGCTTGAGAATTCAAATTCAGACCTCGAAGTACCTCTATAAATACCACCGGTAGTGTTTAGAGCAACTCCTTGATGGATCGAGCCAGAAATCAAAGAAGAACCAGCAGAATCAACTCTGTCCATGGACTCATGTCCAATCCAAGACTCCTTCACCTTCATCTGGTTAAGCGTGAGAGTACCGGTTTTGTTGGTAACAATGATGCTGACAGAACCCACAGTATCGAAAGCAGAGGCCACAATCTTCATTCTCTCCTTGGCTTTTGCTAGAATGAGGTTAACAATCAAGGGTAGGCTTGCTGGGACCACAGCATTGATAATAATAACTGCGGAAGCAACAATATTGTACACATTTTTCTTGTGGCTGTCTTCTTTGTTATCATTCTTGTCAATTGCATCGTTGGTGAAGTAATTGACAACGAGAAGTAGTACAACAATGATTTCAAGAATCTTACGCATGGACCGCGCTAGCTTCTTCACTTTCATTTGCAGTGGCGTCTGCTCGTTATCATTAGATTTTTTGTTCATCATTTGCCTCCAGGTGGTGTTCATTCCAACGGAAGTGACGAGCATCCGAGCATCTGCATTGGCCACCTTAGTACCCGATACCATGAATGGATTTTGCCTTATATTCTCGTCATCATGATCGTCTCCCCCTGTAATGCTTGATTCCACTACCTGCAGAGAATATCCAGGAACAAACAAACCATCTGCTGGAACTTTGTCACCGATCTTCAGGCAAACAATGTCCCCAACGACTAAATCAACAATTTGAACCCTTCTCCGTTGGCCGCCTCTCATTACATCAATTTCAATATTGTTCCTAATTGGTGACATTTCCTCGAACTGCCTGGTCCCTCTGTAATTGATGATGGCAGAGGTGGAGATGAATAAAAAAGCGGCAACCAATATGCTTGCACCCTCGAGCCACCCTTCTCTCAGGCCATCCCGCTTGATGGCGCCGAACCCAAGGGAAAGTGCTGCGCAGCCGAGGAGGATCAAAACAGTGAGATCTCTGAAAGCTTTCACAACAAAAGGGTGGAAACTCAGTTTATTGTATGTGTTGAAGCCAAATGCTTTCTGTCGCCGGAGAACATCGTCATCAATGCCACTGATTCCACCATCCAGGCTGGTTTCCAGAGAAGAAGCTACTCCGTTAATACCGCCAAGTTTTTGAAGCTCTCCTAGATTTTTCTCCTTGACAAGGCCGCTGAGAGTGGTCTTGTCAATTTTGAAAAATGCAGTTTCCTCCACCGGAATTGTGAGTGCAACATGAGGGGGAACTTTTTGAAGCTCTCTAAGATTTTTCTCCTGCACAGGTTCCGTGAGAGTGGTCTCATCAATTCTGAAGCGATTGTTTTCGTGGGGAATTGTGAGAGTGACATGAGAAGGAATGGTCGGAACCTTGTTCCTGGTGAGAGATAACAGAGTTCTTGAGCAATAGATGGCAGCGAAAGCCAAATGCCATTTTTTGTTGCGTTTGTTGAGTAAGACAAGGGAATCAAGCAAATGCTCAATGCCGATTGTGTCTACTTTATCGAGAATAGCAGACATGAAATCAGAACAGCTAAGAACAAGAATAATGTGTGTGTATATATATATATATATGATGAAAGAAGAAGGATAATAATCTTCTTGCGAAACAAAAGCAAGAATCAAAGAACAACAGGGCAAGAAAGAGGTATGAGTTGTGATGGCGGGGAAAAAGCATGAGCACAGGGCATTTTATATTCTTCTCAAAAATCCGTTTTATTTCCTCATGAAGCTATGAGAGAAGCTGCTTTCCTGTTTCGTGGAAATGAATTACGAGAAGGAAGTTGGCGGAAAATCTTTGCCGGTTTCCGACCGTTTCCTAGCTTCCACTAATTAACTACGTATTGTATTAGTAGTGTTTTGTATTTTCGTCGTCGGAAACGAATTAAATCATGGGCCCTGGGTTGGTTACTGCTTGGGACGAGCGTTAGTCTAGTGCGGATACGGATTCTATTTGTTCCCTTTATGTTCGCTGGTGGATAATGACTATTTTGGTAAGAAACAAATTTCCATCTGTATGTCAGCCAGAATTTAAGATTAAAAGGGGCATAACTATAAGTTATAAAAAATTTTCTTTTAAGCTAAATAGACTGTTTAACATCTATAATTGTTTATTATTAAGACAATTTATAGATTACAATTAAAAAATACTCTAAAATAATAATAATAATAATAATAATAATAATAATAATAATAATAATAATAAAGATAACAATGATAAAATGTAAACACACATAAAAAAAATTGAAATCCTACAATTCAAAAGATAAAATAATAAAATTATCATAAACCGAAAATGAAATACTTCATAAATTGATTAAAACAAAACATTAAGGTTAAAACCCTTCCTGAAATAAAGTAATTTGTTTAAATAAATTAAATTAGAAATTAAAACACAACAAGTATATATATGAATCTAGATTTGTATTGTACGGGCAAATATAAGAATAAATATAAAATTTAAACCTAAGGCTAAGATATTTGTTGACAAAGTTAACAAAATAATCATGAAATAGGTATAAAATAAAACAAAAAGATAATTAAACGTAAACTCACAATAACTTGAAATTAATAATGATTCTTTCTCACCACTGACAATAATTAATTAATTAAAATACTAGAGCCCCTCTCCCAAATAAATTAAAATTTTAGCAGATAATTACTTAGCAACTATAGTTAAGAAAATGAAAAGTCAAATAATCAATAATTTAAAATCTAAAACCAAAAGCAACTAACAATTACAATAATCAATAATTGTAGAAGAACATCACAAAAGAAATCAAAACTCCATTGTTATGATGAAAAGTGTTAAATCAATAGGATTATATTTTAAATTGGTAATAAAAAAGAGTGTTAAGTTTAGACGATGAATAAACATATATACTTTAGTAATTAACATATATATTTTAATTTTTAATTTTTAATTAAACTTCAAATTTTCTTTAAATATTTTGGGGGGCCTGGGCCCCTTAGGCTCCTTACTCCGCCTTTGTTGAATAGCATTGACTCTTGTAAAGTGAAGATACGTCCACTTGCTTTTTTTATATATATATTAAGATAATAATTAGTAAGTTAGTATTATTAAAAATTAATAATTGATAATTTAATTTTTAAACTGGGTGAACAACTCACCGACCTTAATAAAGCACGCAGCTATTAGGCGCTTGCGTCCACTTGCTTTAAAGCATGTGCAATGGTTGTTTTATTTCACTGTTCTTTTCTAAAAAAAAAAAATGAAGGCAAAACTTTTAATCATTAGCGGGTAATTGGTTGCCCACTAATTTTTCTCCTTAAATTTAAAAAAAAAAATTTAACAAATTTATATTTGTATTTTCACACAAAAATTTTAATAAAATAACAATAAAGTGATATTTTTTATTTTTATTTATTTAATATAATGTTTAACACATAAATTTTTCTTATATTTTTGAAAAAACAAGTTTCTTAATTTTTTATATAGAAACCACATAATAATCTTTTTATCAATTTTTCATATATTAATTTTTACTAAATATAAAAAAATTAATAATTTAATCAAATTTTATTATAAAATTTATTAATATTTTACATAATATTTTATTATTAAAATTTTTTAATAAAATTAACTCTTTAACCATGACAGTAAAGTTTTTTCTCCTCTTGAATTTGTGTCAATCAATTTCTTTCTGTCCCCAGAAGGCCAAGTGGCATCATTTTGACCTCAACTTGAGGCAAAAAATTTTAACCACCGGACGTGTTTCCTCTTTGTCCCCAAAAGGCCAAATGGTATCATTTTGACCTCAAATTGAGGCAAAAAATTTTAACCACCGTACGTGCACCAACACGTGGGTTGCTTCCATTTTTGTCTAGAATGGTCGGCAAATCTAAATTACCGTATGCATCAGGGCGTTGGAAATACTCTCTTTAATTATTGAGACTCCTATGGATTGCTTCCATTTTTTGTCAAATTTTATATTAAAATTTTAAAATTTTAATTAAAAATTTAAAATAAGTTCATAAAGGTTTTGCTTCCCCTCTTTTCCTTTAATGTTCGCTGGGATTGATGGCCCTGGTGGAGAATGCCTTTATGGTCCATTTCGTAATGAAGTCAGAAAAGCACGTGAGGCAATTACCAATACCCATATGTCCATATAATGGTCAACCTAATGCTAATGTAGGGATGCCAACTATACGCTGTGGACGCGAAGAGATATAGAGTCAACGGTCATCCCATTCCCGCGCCCAGTCATGCTAACCATGGACGGCAGCAGCATTTCTTGTAAAAGACAAGCACTGCTCCCTTTCCATTTCTGGTAAATTCCATTGAAAAGTAAAAAGGTTAAACAGCACATTCAAGCATGTTTAATTTAATACTCCTTCCCCTCAACTTTAATAAATTTAGCTTCTTTTTTTTTTTTAATATACAATAGAGACATAACAATTAATTAATAAAATCAATTGAGAGCTTTCACATTTCTATAAAGCATATTGACATATATATTCTCATACAATAATTATTACATGAAAAAATATGAATACTTATAAAAAACATTATATTTAACTCAAAAAAAAAAAATATCTATGATTAGGTTTATAGATTCCCATATATATATATATTCATAGGACTTCATGTTATGTTACACTTTAATACATTATTTTTTTCAATGTGAGATTTTATGTGCGTCTCTTAACTTCATTTACACGGAACCTTTTATATTTCAATAGGCTTAATATTATAGGTTTTTTTGCTATGTCTACGATGCAATCTTCTTCTTCACTATCATCATTCCGCGTAAATTTGGAAGGAAAACCCCATTGATAAAGAGGCATTAGAGAAAACGATTGGGGGAATGTTTTCTCATTTTCTGGTGGTGGATTGGTGTGGACTGTCCAGAGGGAATAATTTAGGGATGGTACGAGGGAAAAGGACAAACTTAGAATTGGAAACTATTGATTTGAAGTAATTATTGAATCCACCCAAAATTAGAATTACTGTGGCGAAGCGTCCTACAGTGATCCCTGACCTTACGCTACTGTCTTTCAACAACTTATTTGTTTAGGACACATGTTATGCAAATTTTTAAATTTGTTAAGTATATATAAAAAAATTAGTATGTGTTAGTTTTAATTTTTAA